CGGGGCGTCCCGCGGGTCCCGCCCCTCCCCGCCTGACTCCTCCACTTTCAGCTTCACGGACCCGGCCGTGTCCATGGACCTGCTGCGAGCTGTCCTGCAGCCCAGCATCAACGAGGAGATCCGGGGCGTCTTCAACAAGTACATGAAGGTGAGAGCCGCGGGGCCACCCCGCTGCCCCCTCCCTCGTGCCTGACCCGTCGGGAGCTGGGCCCGTTCACCTGCCCCCACCCCGCTCGGGCGCTGACCCTCTCCTGCCGCCTCCTCTCCAGTTTTTCCAGAAGGCAGCGATCAACGTGCGCGATAATGTCGGGGAGGAGGTGGACCCAGAGCAGCTCATCCAGGAGACGTGTCGGAGCTGCCTGGAGCAGGTGGGTGCTAGCAAGGGGCTGCACTCCCCTGGCTGGGCAGAGCAGCCTGGCTGGGACGTGTCTCTCTTTGTGGCTTTGCCGTTAGCCAGGGGCACGTCCCCAGTTCCCGTGTGGTTTCTGTGCTTGGCTTTATCCTCCCAGGGAGGAGGGGAGCACTCAGGGCCAGGCAGCTCGTGCTGCTGCTTTTTGCTGCCGCTGCCCCACGGCTGGAGCTTCTGCAGAAACGCACCCATCAGAGAGTCCAGGCTGGGTGTGGGATTTTTTTCTTTCACCTCTTGCTTTTGTCCCAGTTGCCAAGATTTTGTCACGCTCAGATTGCGTTCTTGTGTCCCGCCGTCTGTGAAAGCACTGCACGGCCCGCTCCCAGAGCAGAGCTGCTATGGGGCTTTCGGGCAGATACACAAAAGTCGGGGTGGCTGGCAGGTCCCTCTGTCCCTCTCTGGACCCAGAATCGGGTAAGCCCTTCCTTTCTCTCCCTGCAGGCCAAGCTGCTGTTCTCCGATGGCAAAAAGGTTGTTCCCAGGTTGCCCCATGAGCAGGCAGTACCAAAGGTAAAGGTTGTTATTGTTCCCAGAGACTTGGATGACTTGTAAGAGCTGGGGGAAGGAGGAGGAGGGTTGGAACTGCTTTGTTCTCTGCCTCTTCTCGTCTGTCAGCACACTAGTGAGGAGGCAGAGCTGGGGGTGCTGGGCTAGGAGGGACTGGTACCTACAGGGCAAGGAAAATCCCAGGCGCAGTCGCTGCTCGTTGCAGTTCGGTTTCTCACCCGGATGGGGTGGGTCGGTGTTTCCCCCCGCGCTCGTGCTCTGGCAGCCCGGGGCCCAGCTCATCCTGCTGCCGTTCCTCTTCCAGCGTGCCCGACAGATGGAGGAGGAGCTGAACCGTCGAGGGAGCCCCATTCCCAAAAAGGTGAGAGGAGTTTCCACACGAGGGATTTTATGTTCTGGAAAGCCTTTTTCTCGTTGCTGGCTGTTGCCACAGTATGAGCAAGTTCACGGGCCACTTTTGGGATGCCCTGGAGGTGCTTGCTCTCGTGCCTGCCAGCATTTCTGCTTGTGACAAAGAAAAGCAGCTTCCCTGGGAGGGGGAGGTGACTGAGAGGGTTCTCTCAGCCTGCACAGCTGAGTCACGGGAGGATTTCTTTCTCGCCCCCATGCAGAGAAAGGGGCGACCTCCAGGACAGAGCCTGTCGAACGATCGCGGGGTCTCGGGCATGGCTGCGTGAGTACGGGTCCTGAGCTGGAGCCCCTGTTTTGGGAGGGTGGTGGGGAAACGGGGCTGCCTGACGGGGGGAGTACAGAAACCCTACGGCTCCCTTCCCCTCCTGCACAGGGGGGTGCCCAGGGCGGGCAGGAGGGGTTTAGGTTGAGCTGTTCCCCCCAGGAGGCAAAGAGCCTCAAGGACTCAAGTTTTAAACAGGCCTGAAGGGGTGAAAAGGTCCAGGTGGACCATTGAGAGTGAGCAGGGTGAGGCACGGGTGGTGGGGTCTTGGCATCTGGGGAGAGTGGGACATGCAGCAGAGGTGAGGGTCCGCAGGGGCGTGAAGGAAGGCGGATCTGGAAGGGCTGGGGCTCGATCCCTGCTGCTGGCACTGTGGTGGCGACTGCACTGGTCCCGCAGCGACTCGTTCTTCACTGCATTTTCCTCCCCCACAGGTGGAAGCTCAAAGTCTCTGAGCCCGTGAGAAGGGATGGACCAAAGGTATTGGCTGGCCGACGCTGCTGGGCTCACCCTCTCCTCCCCTTTGCTTCCGCTGCGGGAGCGGAGGACAGCGCCGAGCTGTGCTCTGCCCCGATGGGCCCCAGCAGTGCAGCAGAGGAGCAAGAAGAGGAGCGAAGTGCCTGGAGGCCTTTGCTTGTCTTCCCCAGACACCGTAGCCCGTAGCTCTGCGGCGTGGTGCCGCTGTTAGGAGACCTGGGGAGAGACATAGTAGCCAGGAGGATCCCACAAGTGTTTCCCATGAGGGAAACTGCTTAGATCAGCCCAGAGGGAACGTTATCTTCCCTCCTCCGTGAAAGGCCTGTGGCCAGCGCCCTCCCTCCCCGGCCGGGGCGGTTCTGAGGTTCCCTGTCAGAGAGCCGAGGCTCGTGGCGCACGGGCCAGCCCCAGCTTCATTTCTAATGTTGCCCCTTTTCCAATTGCTCTGTAGTGGGATCCATCCCGACTGACTGAAACCACAACCTTTGTGCTGGGATCTCGAGCAAACAAGTAAGGAATGGCCCTGTCGATGGAGGGTGATGTCTCCAAGGCAGGAGCCCGTAAGACTCCTCCCGTCACTTCGCTTCTCTGCCTCGAAAGCAGTAGGAAGGGCTCAGGGAGGAGAGGAGGTGTCCCCGTACCACCGCGGCCGCCCCCCGCACGGGTGTAACAGCCCCTCTTGTTCCTCTTTCAGAGCTCTCGGGATGGGAGGAACAAGAGGCCT